TGTGAGTACTAGTCCTCAGAAGTAGAGGCTATTTCTTGAGTTTTCTTGGCTCTTAACCAGGTGTCTGTTGGTTACCTCCCTTTTCCTCTTCATAGGTGATATTGTCCTTCCTTCATCTCTGTGGGAATCCCAGGCCTGGGGACAGAGGAGTGGCCAGGGTACCTTTGGTGAACACTGGTGAATCTGAGTCACCACGAGTCTAATGACCTTCCATTTGTTATTGGTTTCCATGGTCACTGCTGGGTCTCAAGGATGGGAAACAGCTCTCCAAACACAGTGAATCATTACATCACTCCCCTCCTTAACAACCTTCACTGCCTCCTTGTTGCTAGTGGGATAAACAAGCAGTGGAGACCATGTGCACTCTAGTCCACTTTCTCCTCCTCCAGTCATTTTCTCCCAAGTCTCAATTCCCATGTGTACAGTGTTACTTCATCCTCTTTCAAGACCCAGCTCAAACATCACCTCTTTTGGGGAGTCTTTTCAGACCTTGATGCTGTGGAGCTAGAGCCCCTTTCCTTTGTGTTCTTACAGTACTGTGCTCACCTATTTTGGGGCGCTTTTCACATGACCGTGCTGGCTTATGTGTCTGTCATTCTCATCCTCCACCCTCTAGACTGTGAACTCCTCATGGGCTGGTATGAGTCTTATTCATTTGGGTGTCATCCGAGCCTGACCAGGCACCTGGACCTCAACAGGTGCTCAGTTAACTGAGTGAATGAAGAAAAAGAGGGAGAGATTTGGCCTTTTACTGATTTATTGAGCACGAAGGGGGTAGAAGGAGACAATGAGGCACGGATCCAGAAAGAAAGCACTGGTGTTTTAATGAAACTTCTTCCAAATCTGTGAACATGTTAGCTGTGAAGCAAAAGCTTTTATTCTTTCCAGAGCACAGATTTCTACACAATGATCACAGTGGTAAGGTTAATAAAATGCTGGACAGATGAGCAGCCAAAGAATGTTATAAAATAACAAAATCTCATCATCAACTATATATCACACACAATTTTACTGAGACATCAAGAGAATGTGTGTTTGTAGCTACATGGCTAAAAATAAGACATTATTACAGTCACCAAGTCCATAAAACTTAAAAAAAAAACACACACAAAAAAACACCACGCTATATAACAGAAAGGCCTTTCATAAGCTATTAAGTGAGTACACATTACAGACATACTGATTTAATATGTGAAGCAGCTTATAGCACCAACATGTTGGTAGGACCAGTGGAGGGGCAGGACCGTTGAATTAAAGCATCTGAGAACAGTAAGGAATCTCAGCCATCATTTACTTCAAACCCTTCATTTACAGATGGTGACACGGAGGTCCAGCGAGGTGATGTGCCTTGTCCAAAGTCATACCACACAGGGTTGGCTAGTAAATGGTACAGGGCAAGTATCCAGGCCACCCATTTCAGGTAAGTGGCCTGTATTTTAATACACACATAATTCTGAGTTGATGTATTCTTTTTCTGTTCACAAATATACCTTACAAGAAATCAATAAATCCATATTCTGGCACTCTATTTACTTTATTGATAAAAGACTGACATGCACCGTAATTCACATCTTGGGTCTGTATCTCAGAAATCCAAATGCCGAGTAACCTGTCTGATACACTATCTTCGTTAGAAACGGGGGAGTACAAGGCATCAGAAGAGAAAGTTGGGCATATCCTCCACAACCTAATTAGCTTATGTCTCGAAATTACTAAATCATTGGTATAAAGTTTTTTTCCTGACAATGTAAAGTTCAGTAAAGTATAAAAGCAGTTTAAACAGAGAGAATGCAAATCAGTTCTCTCCTTTAGTAAGTATGGGACTTTTCATTTTAATAAGGTAGGGACACTGAAAAAACTTATTTATTCAGAGAAAACAAAAAACAAAAAAAGGACTTTGCTGCCACACCATAGCTTTTCAATCAACTGGTATAAAAAGTATTTTCTCAATTTTGTAAAATCTTTTGGAATCGTAATGTTTTGTCTGGTCTATCTTGACACGGTGCTGAGGCTGCAACTGGACAGATTTATGCTGAACTAATGAAGGTAGATTAAGAAGAGAGAAGAGAGATTATTACTGTTAACAAGAGCAAAACTAGAGATACAGAATACTGAACCTATTTAAACAGCTTAATGGAAATGAAGGCAAGAAGTTACATGTAGATATGTAAGCGTGTCATTATAGAGATAGTTGGGAAAAAGAACATACATTTGATGCTTTTCTACCATTATCATGAACCAAATGCTGTAGAACAGTTAAAATAAAGAATAAAGCCTGATAAATAGGGTAACTTCTGAATATCATATATATGTATACATATATTATATTTCCCACATACACTTCTGGTTATAAGTAAATTAACATTGAACTACATTTCCCCTCCCCTTGGGACCAGCATTGAAGGACCTGATTCATTTTTTTTTTCTCTTGAATTTGTTTGATGCCTGGTTAGTAAGTTATACAACATATACTCTCATATCCCTTATTGTATCTGGCCAGTAAAAATAAAATGAAATCTCTTGAGATCTCAAGCCATTCCTTACCACTACAAGCATATTGCCAAATATATAACAAAATATGTTTTCTGTTGGGTAAAAGAGACTTAAGGACTAGAGAATAAACTATGCTTGCTACTATTAATGTATATGATGGTACAATAAAAGTAATTTCATGAAAAATATCTTATAGTAAGTTGCATTATAAATACTGAAAGAAACATGTTAAAATCAGAGTGAAAATAAGATTAGTGTCAGAAACTATCAGTAGAAAAATATACTTATAAAAAAAAATGTCTTGTTAAGTAAAGCATTCAATGAAAAGTCACCTTTGTAGTGTACATTTCAAATGTCACCTTTTTGAAAGGTAAAACCTTTTTCTCTCCTTAACAGGTGCCTAAGATTTACTTAGGAACCGGGCATGTATACAGACCCACACAACAGATAACACAAAGTTATGAGCTGGCTTGCTTTTCTTTCACATAGGACAGTCCACAATGTGGAAAGGTGACTTGGAGAAATACAAAATCTGAGCAGTTTTAAAATAGTACTGCACGTGTTTACACACAATTAGAGTAATGTGGAAATCTCCCATATTAGATATTAAGAGGGGTTTGTGTCAGAGGGCAGATTAAGGAAGACCACTGTAAATGATACCTTCAAGAAACTGAATCCTTTTTGAGAGTAAGTTTTAAGTTCTTCATTGTTGTTGTTAAGTGCCGTCGAATCAATTCCAACTCACAGAGACCCTGTTTAAGGTCTCCGAGGAATGGATGGTGGATTTGAACCACTGATCTTGAGGTTAGTAGTCCAGTGCTTATCCTACAAGAGATATGCTAGGACTCCTTATCCTTCATTACTAATTACTTTTAAGGAACTGAAAATGAATCAAAAACATCAAAGGTCGAGAGTATGATTGGAGTCCTGGTGTGGAGCTGTAGGAGAAGCACTGGACTGCAAGGTCAGTTTGTACCACAAGGTTGGCAGTTGAATCTCACCAGCTGCTCCTCAGAAACCCTATACAGGGTTGCTACGAGCTGGAACTGACTCGATGGCACTTAACAACAAAATATGATTTGGGCTCCTAAGTAGGCATTTCAATAGGGACTCTCTTCTGTTTTGATAAAGTCAGAGCACCCTCTGGCAGTAGGAGATTCCTTCTGTTGGGATTCCTACTGGAAATTCCAAGGATGTGAGGGCTATATTCATGCCCAGAGGAAAATCAAGGAACTTAATACCCAGCTGTTGGAACAGGTGGGTTCCTGTAGCAGCCCACTCCTCTTGGAATACTGTGTGGACAGGGTAGCAATGAAACTGCAGATATTTGGAGAGTTTAAATTCTTGACATTTGTACACTATTTGTGGATGTGTTTCTTTCCCACCATGTTCCATCTGCCTGGGGCTGATGAGGTGGGCATTACCACTGAAAAAGACATTCTAGCATGAGAGAAAGGGAAGCTATATAGAGAAAAAGAACTAAACTGACAAGCTGGGCCAAGAAGAGCTGTTTTTTGTATGCTTCTGGCTTCTTTTGTGAGTGAGCTCATGGTCACTCTGTCTCTTTCCAGTCAATAGGAGGACATTTCAGAGGTGTCTGCTCCTAATCCATCAGAAGTCCCAGGAGCATAGTGGTCCAGGGACCTCACCTAAGGGTCTCCTCCCCTTTTCCAGATTTAGGATCCCCAAAGCCCAAAGGCCCCTTGTGAATTAATACCTCATATTATAATAGAAAAAGGCATTTTCGTTCAGCTTTAAAATTTTAATTGGCACAGGTCTTTGTAGTCCAAGAGGTCCAGCAAGGTTTCAAGAGAGGAGAGAAGATGTCATCATTTGATCTACAATGAGTATAATCTTTAGAATGTTCTTTACTTTTGGCACAATAACTCTACGAAGAGAAATTTTATTCTACGCACCTATAGCTCACGATAAAGCTGTAACTCCTGGAGTTGAGAAAATGATGATAAGGAGAGAAAAAAGTTTTTAACTAGGAAATACGCTCTTTGATATGTGTATATACAAAGGCATATATACACACACATACATACACACGTACACAAAACAACACCCTCCCCCCCCACCCCCATACCATCATCAACTATACAGACTGGCACAAATTCTATTGAGAACATACAATGAATGAAAAGGTTTTAGTACTTAAGTAATTCTTGATTATTTTAATCTAGACAGGTGCTTTAAGTAATTTAGGATTTGACATACTGAATGATATGTATATTTTACAGAATACGTTTTTTTTTTTAAAAAAAAGGCCCCGACCAACTTTTCTTAAACAGTAACCCAATATGACACCACAATTACCAAATGGAAACCATACAGTTATTCTCTATTGAATCAGTAAAGGGTATTTTAGAGAAAGGGCAACTTGGAGAATAAAGACTTCAGAGCCTATTATTCCAAGGTAAGAGCATTTTAGTTATTAGCAGTGGTTACCAAAGAAGCTGAAAGTAAATCTCTCCAAGGAGCTGCACGTAATTTGCTTGTTGGGAAGCGGTGAGGGACTGTCTCACTCTTCCACTACAAGATGATGCACGTTTTTTTATCCTTGAAAGGGTTTTCTGAAGTTGGGATTCCAATCAGCAGAGGGTCACTCCTGGCATGCTCCTCGCAGTAAGACATGAGGTCCGCAGATGCCTTAGAAACCTAACATGTAGAGAAACCAAAGTCAACACTCCAACAAGGAAGAAATCAAATACTTTAGCTTCAAATCTTCAGTGTGTATGAGTGGGCTTGAAAAAGTTTGTGGAAAACTTGCATTATCTTTTCATTTCATCTCCCCAGGAACTTTTGCAAGCCTATTCGTACTTTAGCTCCAAACCTGACACATGTATTTGAATGCTAAACCACTGGATGGATACTCAAAGTCTCGCAACCACAAAACTTTATTAATTAAAAAGGGATAAGATGCCTTTAATATGGAGAAACCTGGCAGCTCATGCTTCAACCAAGTGATGAGATTTAATAATGATGAGACAAATTAGGCACACCACCACTTAGCCAGTGTTCTTGCCACACATGGAACTGAAATCTAATCAGCAGAGAAAAGAATCACAACCACAGTGAGGTGGACTCTGTAAAATAAGTGGTTTGAACTCTTCAAAATGGACTGTGTGCTAGATCCTAGTTACGTTTCTTCAGAATGTATTTAGGAGTGAAGAGTCACAATGTCTGCAAATAACTGTTAAATGGTGCAAACCAAAAATGATATGTGGTTTGTGTGTATGTGTGTAGAGAGAGAGAGATGAGAGAGAGCAAGAGAGAGTGACAGCAAGCGAGAGAGAGCACGTGTGGACAAATGTTAACAACTGATGAATCTTAGTAAAGGGTAAATAGAACTAGGGTGGTACAAATGGTTAAACACAGTATTACTAGCCAAAAAGGTTGGCAGTTTAAACCCACCCTGAAGCTCCTTTAAAAATTTGCTTGGCAATCTGTTTCTGAAAGGTCAGAGTTTACAATCTGATGAAAAGTTCTACTCTGCACACCTGGGGTTGCCATGCCCTGGAATCAACTTGAAGGCAGTTAACAACAACATTAAAGGGTATATGGGTGTCTATTGCCACAACTTTCCTAGGATTGAACTTTTTTTTTTACAAAATAAAAAGTAGAGGTGTGTGAGCATGCGTGTTTAAAAAAGGGAAAGTGTACATGAACCAAGGGAAGGTTGTATCTTTAGTTTCAAGCCAATGAAAAAAGGACTGGAATGCAGAGCAGAGTTTAAGAACTGTCAAAAGTTGGAAAGAGTAGAGCCAAGTTCTGGAGCTCCAAGATTTACTGTTAAAAAAAGAGCTTAGGGAAATAAAAGGAAAGCCAAAACTAGCTGGGAAGATGGAGCGCCTAGCTCTGGCATGGCTTACAAATGGAAACTACCATCCCCTTTCAGGAGCCTGGGTCGTAGAGCCAGCAGAACAATAACATCAGTGTCCTCAGGGGACAAGCACGGGACAGCTGAGATGTGTCAAACACTGCACAGCCTGCCTCATGTTTTGAAGACAGGTGACTATCTCCAGGCCCAAAGGAATTTATCAGGTGACTACTTCAGTTTTCAGGAAACAGTATTAGTCACAACATTCCACTGACTCCTTAGTCCTCCCTTGGGATTTGGGAGGAAAAGACTTCAAAGTCAGGTGACCTGACACATTCATCTGGGGGTTTTCTATGAGCTCTCAGCTACAGCTGGCATTACTCATCCAGTGCACAAAGTGGTCACTGAAGTCCATACACATTGACACAACGACATTCTCCAAAAAAGGAGACCCAACTGTTGACTTATTATGTAAGGTTACCTCAGCTGCACTGATAACTCTAGAACACTTAAAAATTTCCAGAGGGATGATGATGGTGTTTATGAAATCTATCTGGAACCCCTGTCCCAATGTAGAACAAAGTGACCACGGGACTTGACTCTGTTCATTCAGGGAAGGTGGGTCCTCAGGAAATCCTGTTCAGAGTTTTAGGTTTTCCATATAAACAGAGAGGGGAACTCAAACCCTTGGCTACTGAGCTCTTAAAATGAGCTAGAAATGAAAGTTAAGACCCTGAGACTCTCGGTTTGCTTCAGGAAAATCCTAGGACTAAGCGGAGTTAAACGACATTTAAAAACCTCCAATTATTGTCAAGTCTACGCTGACTCATGGCAATCAAGTATCTCTGAGTAGAACTGTGCTCCATAGTGCTTGTATGGCTGATTTTTCAGAAGTAAATTGTTAGGGCTTTCTTCTGAGGTCCTTCTGGGTGAACTTGAACCTCCTACTTTTCCATTAGCAGCCAAGTAAGTGCAGTAACTGTTTGCACCATCTGGGAACTTCTAAAATGATCAGAAAGTATGTCTTATCCAACCTAGGCGTCTTACCTTTATTCTTTCAATGGAAGCTTCCAATCTTAACTGCTGCACAGTTCTCCTTGCCTGGGCTATGTTGTTGGTGCTTGCTGTTTTGCTGGACATCTTCAGTTCTTCTTTTTACCTGAAATCTGAAGAGAATTCCATTTTTAAAAGTGAATCATGGTCATCTTTGAATGACCTGAATAGCCATATTACTTTAAAGGCAAAGAATGCCTTTTCCCAGCCATCACAGCGCTCTGAAGCAGTTACCAAAATGCCCATCAGCAATCCGACAGGTGAACAAGTGTCTATATACTTGAACACCCTCACAAATCTTTGGTTTGCAGAAGCTCAATACTAGCAGTTTAGTCGGCATATCCCAACATAACAGCATACAAATAGCCTTTTCTAGGATTTTCCAAGAGGAAACAAATGCACATAAAAACCTGCAGTAGTGAAGTGGCCTTCCAGTAAACAGGTGCATATTCAAACAGAGACTATACTGTATGTGCAGTTTAATATTGCTGTGGAGTGGATTCTTGTCTCAAAGCATTCCCATGCGAGTGCAAGTAAAACTGTATTCCATAGATTGCCAAGCCTTGCATCTGGAGAGCCTCTAACTAGTCAAACCTTCAACTGTTCAGTTAGCAGCTGAGTGTGTTAACTGTCTGCAGCCCTGCAGTGTAAAACAATTGCTATCTAATCACTAAAGTCCTGGTGTGGTGCTGGGGGTTGATGCATCAGAC